ACCCTCCGTGCAGGTCGCCCCTCCCCCCCCCTCTCTCTCTCTCTCTCTTTTCGAAACACTAAACGGGAACGCGTTTAGTGTTTGAAACGAGAGAAAGAGAGTCGAAACGAGAGAGAGAGAGAGAGAGAGAGAGAGAGAGAGAGAGAGAGAGAGAGAGAGAGAGAGAGAGAGAAACTGAAAGTCGCCGCCTCTCTCTCTCTCTCTCTCTCTCTGTGTGCGACTTTCAGTTGAAAGCAGGGATGAACCCGTTTTTTTTTCTTATTTCTTTTTTTTTTTTCTTTTTTTTTTCCCGTTTTTTCCGTCGGCTTCACATCGACGTTCGGGATGCCTGCCTCCGGTAGTCCCAGCCTCGGCACGGTTCGGCGTACCGGTCGGCCGAGGCTCAGACTCGATAGCTGGGCCAGGTACTGGTGGTTTAACAATCACTCAAGGCCCCTTCTATTCTGGGGGGCATCAGTCAGTCCGGGTGATTGCTTATCACCGTCAAGCATGAGTACGTGAAGGGAAACAATATATAGCAAAAAGCTTAGCTTTGCCCTTGCGGTACTAGCCGCCTATTCAAGGGGGGAATTGCCACGGACCGTCCTACCCACCGAACCATGGCCTCCCCTGGGGATCATCTGCTGTGTCTGGGACGCTTTTTTGGCAGCACCCAGTCAAACAGCATAAGGGCCCCAGGGGCGGCCCTTTCCTAGCGGTCTCTCAGGCCCCATGTCTCTTCTCCCAGTTTTATGTGCATCCCTTTTTTGTCTTTCCCCCTTCTCTCTCCAATTCTTTTCCTGAAAAGCAAGATAGTGTTTTTTGTTTTTTTGTTTTTTGCTTGAACTGGTTTGAGCTGCAGTTGAGTTCTCTACCAGTCCATTAACAATTCTACCAGGTAACATCACAAAAGAAAAAAAGAGGAAAATTCTTCCAGATAACATCACAAAAGGAAACAAGAAGACAAAATCTTCCAGGCATGATTTTTCTCGAACTCTGACCATCTCACAAACGTGCCAGGAATGAGCCTCGCGTAGCCCTCATCAGACACACAAGTGTTCTGGGCTGTGGCCCCCAGCAAGCCGGTGCCCACCCTAAGTGGAGGCAGGCGTGAGTATCCACGTGAGGCCTGTTTTCAACATTTTCCATATGTGGGTACTCAGACAGTTGCAGCACGCCAGTTGGTTACAGAGCCTCGTGAGCCTCCAGGCTTCTTTCCAGAAGCAAGGGCTGCACTGTACAGTTGAGCCCAGGGCTCAGGTGGTTGCGCCCTGAGCACACACTGTGTGAGGCCGACATGTCACTGACTAGTTAAGGCCAATGAAGAAGCAGCATTGTTGTCACACATGTGCCACCAGCCAATGAGAATGCTGCAAGCACTTCGAGTCCGGGTGGCTGCCTGGACACGAGGCCCAGGTGAGTATCTGAAACTGGGCCTGGGCTCAGACGCTTGGGGCCAGAGGCAAGCTACTGGGCCCCCACATGCCTGGCCAGGCCAGGCAGCAGTGGACACACTTCCCATAAAGGAAAGTGTGTGCCCCCTGGGCAGGGCATTCTGGCCGGAGCAGGCATTGCGGCCACGCTGCTGCTTTGTCGAGCAACACTGCGCTATGCAGGCAGGCTGGGGCGCATGAGGGCGCTAAGAGGCGAGAGGGTGCTGCAGTGGCAGCGGGCGCACGATGGCCATAGCCGGGCCGAGCGTGTGGTGGCAGGTGATGGCGATGGTGGTCTTCGGGTAGGAGGCGCATGCAGAGGGGATCAGGGTGTGATGAGGGGAGGAGAGAATGTACCTGGTGTATGCTGGTGGTCGGCATTGGTGTTGACGTCACGTACATTGGTCTTCGACTTTGGTGTGATCCAGTCACATGAACGTAGATAGGATAGATAGGCTGAGTAGAGTAGACTGGTGCTGGGCACCAGACAGTAGGAGCGGCATTGGATACTGTGTTGGTGTGACCAGGAAGAGTCGGCATTGGCACTGAGTTTATTGTATTGCTCTTATTTGGTTGGAATCTTGGTGCATTGTGCTCTCTGCTTGGTACATGACTATCTGGACTACTTCGTGATTTTGCAGCTTGGTTTTCTGTCTATYGCTCTCGCTCATAATCCTTGCAATTTGGTATTGGAGCTGGTTCGATGTCACCATTACTAGCGCTAGCGACTTTGTTACTTGGTGCGCTGAAGAAGCTTCACGCAGTAGGATAGATTGGCGCTGGCTTGATTAGGCTACTTCCGGGTAAGGGGGGAGTGTCGTCGGGAGGCTGTGGCGACAACGGATGTATGTGGGATGATGAGAGCATGCTAACATGGCATTTTGGCTGACATGGCATTCCATTGCATTGTGTGTGGTACCAAGGCTATGATCGGTCATCAAAATGCACGTTGGCTCAATTGGTCAGAAATCTGTGGTTGGGGGCAGCTATCTTCAGGTACTTTGTTCCCTTACCTTATCTTCCCATCTCAATCTCTTCTTATCGTGAGGAAGCGAGTTCAGCTTGAGTGTCCTCTTCTGGTTCAGGAGTCGTGAGCGCTTTACCTTGAGAGTCGATATTCCTCCTGGTGGCCCATCTGTCAAGAGAGGGTGGTGCCTTGGAAGGGCGTTGCTCGAAGCACGGGTCACAGTCACCATGCCAACCCATGGGAGTAGAGCACGCATGCTTTGCAACTTTGTCTTTTAAGCTACCAGGCTTTACCATCGAGGG